TTTATCCCATCCATAGAAGATGCCAGGTCCTTCTGATCGTCTCTCGCTTGCATGGCACTATATTAAGGTTATGCGTGCCGCGCCTAGCCCGTGGTTTTCCTTCTAGTTGAACGAGCCAGGCCTCTCTAATCGTCTCGCGGTTACAAGGTCAACAATTGTTCCTTGAATAAACTATTTCCACCTGCTATCTAATCTTTCCGTTCGCTTTACTTCTCGAGAATCACATCAGACTCCGCGTCTCCTCCGCGCACCGCACCAAATTGACTATGGCGGATCTGAAGTCTGAAAGGATCTCTGCTGCAGTCCTGCTCACTTACGCCACGGTGACCTACACCAGCATCCTCTGTCTTGAGCTTTACGGCCTCCGTCCGTCCTATGCAGAGGCACATAGCGAAGTCTCGTCTTTTTTTGGAATTGGGGCTTATCTGGCATGGTGGCTGACAGCTTTGTCGGTGGTCATGAGACCTGATTCTCCAGAGGCTCCGTTCAATCACTGGATCTGGCGGCTCATATATCGACCGGATATCATCACTTCAACCATCTATGTTATCTTTGCGGCTATCAACACAATCGTCCGTGTGGTCCCGCGAAGCCGAAACCTTGCCGAAGTGGACGCCGGCTTAACGGTCCTTGAAGCAGGAGCCGACTTGTGTATTATGCATCTTTTTGTAACGGTCACAGAAGGCTTCACTAGAGTGCTGACAATTGGGCTTCTAACGGCTTCTATCTTCGTACATCACGTCTTGCCAATCGCCAATCAATCATCACCACCATCTACTAGGTCAGTTAACAACCAACATTGGATATGTAATTATGATTAGAAGGCTAACGCGGTGCCATTCTGCAGCTCGAACAACCATCCTATCGCCAGTCTGACCCCAGAGCATCGGAAATATAGCCTTGCAGCTGGTGTCAATCTATTCGTAGTGCTGTTCGGTACAACTCTATGGATGCTGGTCAAATCTCCATTAGAGATCAGACATCAGCGGCTTATCATCGCCGGTGCACTTGGCATACTGTGGCTCATCAGTAACGAGCTTGGTACCTACAAAATCATGCCGCGCTCAAGTGCCACACTTGATCAGCTGGACCAATGGGCGGCATTAGCCCTAGCTATCCTTCTTGTTTTCTTCTCTTGGATAAAGGAGCTAAGGGATCTTCTTGACAGATTCAAGAACCAAATGTGAAGGGCTAGAGACAAGTCATTGTGGTATTTCTTAGTTGAATTCGCGGACCTTTTTCTGTGCTCCAGGAACTTTTGGAGGCTTATTTAACATAGCACTATCAGACGTACAGAAATTCAACATAGGTTAAGGTAACTTGTTCAACAAACACAGTCCTGTTGCTCTCTAGGTAGGCATCGGCAACCTTTGCGCAGCCCCTTAAGTTTTGTATTCGATTCCTTTTGAGCACCTACCGTAACCATTCTCTAGTGCTCTACCAATGTACGATAGCAAGACATTCTTCCAAGCAACTAGCAACACGATAACAGAAATTACAAGACCTCCAGGGCTGCTTCTAGGTAGTAGGCAGATGATAACAGAATGACTGCAAGACGTGCTCTTAAGTAGTAGCTATATATACTAATTATCGCGACGGCTATACAGATGAGGTTTGCTAGCTATGAAATGAATACTTCCGATACGCCGAAATTGGTGAAAAGCTTGAGGGTCTGACGGTCACCGTAATGTCCAGTGCTGACAGTGAGCTTATCGATACCGGCGCTACATGACTCGCGTGAGCTATGGATTCCACAACTTCAGCTCGAAACCTACGAACACGACTCTGCTTTCAGAGCCATTGTGTTCTCAACTTGCGACCATCCGCATGTATCCGAAAAAATGATGATCGCCAGGCACCGGCCATAATCCACGAAGATTCCACCGCAATCCGCGAACTTGGGTTCGGCCTGACAGGCGCGCCGAGCATTGGCATGCACTCGCCTCTGGGCATCGTCACTCGAGTGGACAAAACCCATGTGGACCTTCCTCTTTGCGCAAAGAGCGGAGCTAGTATGGACCGTGGAACTACCATGGCTGGTCTCTTATCGCGAGAAGTCAGCACTATAAAGCAGAGCTGGTGAGTCGGGCATGGCAATTGTACCTGCGTAGCCTCAGCCAACTAACGCGACCATGCAGCTCATCTCTCGCGTAGCCGCAGCCACGGCAGTCCTCGCCGGCAGCGTTTCTGCTGTAAACTTCACGGGCGATGTCGTGAACGGCGTCCCGGTCATCAGCGGTCTCGACCTCGCTGATGTGCCGCCGCAAACCGTGTCCAAGTACTACATGCGAGCTGGCGAGCTCAATGGCGGACATCCCGTGCATATCCCCATCATGGTTGCGCGCGGAACCCCGGAGAGTCTTCATACGGGCAAGAAGCTGTCGCTTTCAGCTTCAATCCACGGCGACGAGTTGAACCCAGTTCGCGTGGTTCAGCGCATGTTTGAGCAGCTCCAAGACCAAGTCGCGACGCTCAATGGCACAGGTATGTACGATGAACCTTCATGTAGATCATTGCTAAAGTGTACGCAGTCATTGGTATTCCGACAGTCAACCCTATGGGAATCTACCTCAACCAGCGAAACTATTTCACGTCTGGAGCCAGTGGTTCTCTCACAAACGTCAACCGCATCTTCCCGGGCGTCTCCGCCATGGAAGGAGGCAGTGGTCCTGATATCTTGGCGTACAACATCTGGAACCAAATCTGGGCCAACACGTCAAATGTCGACGTTGGCATTGACCTGCGTAAGCTCGTTACGTCCAACACTCATCAAATCTCAGCTAACATGGTTTAGACACACCCAGCTCCGGCGGAGAGACCTCGCTATGGTGCTACTCCGACTTTCGCCTCCCCTACGTCGAGCGCCTCGCCAAACTCCTCCAACCCGATACCCTGAAGATCGACCCTGGTGAGCCAGGCTCCATCGAGACAACCTTTGTCGATTACGGCATCCCCTCGCTCACGGTGGAAATGGGACAAGCCAAGGTCTGGAACAACAGCCTCATCGACCGCGTAGTCGACTACGTGAACCGCGTCATGGTCGACCTTAAGATGACGGGCACAAACGAGACCGTGGAGCCGGATCTCAGCAACACATACATGATCACCACTTTCCACGACACCTGGTCGCAGTACGGAGGCTTTGTTGAGAGGCTTGTACAGGTCGATGAGCCAGTCACCAAGGGCCAGCCCATTGCCCATATCCGCAATCCCTTCGGCGATATCATCGAAACGCTACTTTCACCCGAGACTGGACGCATGTTCCAGAGCCCGCGTGATCCTAGCATTGAGCCAGGTGGCAGTGTAGGACAGATTGCGTACAACAGCACGGATCCTGAGTGTGCTGATGGGTGCATCTTGTCTGGTCCCCAGGGTAGCAGGAGATAATTTAATGTTTATGTAGCATCATAATAAGACGCTTACCGCACCATCTTGCTCAAACATTTTCCCGTTTGCAAGGTCAAACAAAGCTCCTAGATTCTTCACATAGGCAGGTGAACGTGCGTGCCCGAGATGCATTGACCAACAGCGGATGTCGTACAAACGAAAGACTCATACCTTCCTTAGACTTCTCCTGATGCCTTGATAACTTCTTGAATACACCTCTGCATACTCGTCACTCACATAAGAGCCCTCGATCGTCATCATGTCTGCCACTCCTACTGCAACGCTGACTCGCGTCGGAGCGATTCCGTACTACATTCCATCACGCTTAACGTCAATACCTCCGGATTCCCGCGAGTGTATCTTTGGCAGCGCGCCTGATCTTAACGACGGACTTGTTCCAATCACATTATTTGTTCTTAAGAACGCGATGGACGCTTCGCCTCGCAATCTGCGTTCGACCGTTAAGTCGTGGCTCAAAACAGACGATGTGTTCAACAAGCATTTCCTACAGCACGTCTACTTCTTGGTTTCCGCAAACACCAAATCTTACCTGGACAGTTTGACCATGATCATACCGAAAGAGTGGAAGAACCAAAGCGTCCACACCGTGGTGGTGAACTCAAATAGAGACCTGGTTAGCTTCCGCGGTGGACCATACTTTGCCTCCAACGTTGGCATTCGTCAGGCATGGCGCCTGTTTGACGACACGAACGGAGCTTTCCAGTTTTCGGTAGTGCCTGATGAGCATAGAGAGCATACGTGCGTACTTTCTTGCTATAACATGATGCGGACTCTTCCACACTTGGCTCTGCTAATAACCTGTTCATAGATTTGGCGTCCCTGGAACAGCTGCGATTCCAGTCCCCAGTCGCTGCTATTATGACAAGCCCTCCGAAACCAAACCTCTATCTGGTATGAGAATAGCCATCAAAGACAACATCGATCTGAAGGGGGTGCGAACAAGCGCTGGCAGCCGCGCCTACCAGGCCTTGTATCCCGAAAAAGAATGCAACGCCACGTGCGTTGAAAAGCTCTTGGAGGCAGGGGCAGTGATCGTGGACAAAACGAAAACAGTGCATTTTGCCTCTGGAGAAAACGCCCGAGATTGGATTGACTACTCTGCACCGTTTAGTCCTAGGGGCGATGGGTATCAAGAACCTAGTGGCAGTAGCACTGGCAGCGCCACAGCAGCGTCGGCGTACAACTGGATAGATGCCTCAATAGGGACTGACAGTAAGCTCATTCCATCCTTCAGAACCTCGACAGAACTAACGAGTCCGCAGCGTTTGGAAGTATAGTAGGCCCTGCAGCCGATCACGGCTTGTTTGGACTTCGCCTATCCTTAGGTGGCATATCGACGGAGGGTATTGTGCCAGTGTCAAAGTAAGCATAAAGAGTTTATTCCCACCTGCAAATGAGACTGACGCACAAACAGAGAACTTGATACTGTCGGCTTCTTCACGCGCAGCATCCAGATGGCTACCACGATGTCTCGAACATTGTGTGCTCGCGAGATCACCAAGAAAACGCGCGCGGCCAACATTGAGTTATTGTACCCCACTGATATCTTCTCTGGATGCCACAACAAGTATCTATCCCATACAGGGCGTTTCATGCGTCACTTAGAAGATTTCCTACAGGTCAAGCGAAAGAAGCTCGATATAGATGGCCTGTTCAGGCGGCAAAGCATGGCTGGTGGGACTTCACTGAAGAATTATCTAGATACCGTGAGTATCTCCACTTCTATCTTCTCGAACACTTGCTGACGTTGATAGCAGACGGTTGCCCATATCCAGCTATATGACTGCTACCAGAATTGCCAAACATTCGTGCGAGACTACGAGAAGGAGTTCCACAAGAAGGCATTCGCCGACCCTTATATCAAGTACAAATGGTATGTCGTCATGTTGGAGATGAGGTAAACTTGAGCTAATCGTTCGGTCAGGTCACTTGGCAAGGACCTCACGGTGGAGCAATATGAGCAAGCCATCAAGGAACGAAACAACTTGAGAGACTGGATGTGTAGTGCAATACTACCACAACCATCCGATGGACAGAGTCTGGGCAAGATACTCATTCTCCCGAGTGGGGATACTGACCCTATGTACCGACATGAATATCATAAGTAAGCGAGTAGGTGACGGAGGAGGCTGAAAAAAAGCTAATCCAGCGCAGGAGATCACTCGAAGTAGGCGCGAGCAAGAAGCAAGGTTTTGGTTACAAGCCAAGCCATATACCTGTTCTTGCGGGTCTACCGTTCTTCACCATTCCCTGTAAGCCTCGATCTATGAAAGCGTTCTCGAAGACTTTACTCACATGTTGCAGATGGCGAGTATCCGTATGAGTCGACAGTCACAGACAATATAGAGCACCTTTCAGGTGCAATTGGCGTAGTTAGCCCACAAGGTATGTTCATCGATGACTTTGTTCGACGGAATGGTCTGGTAACAGTATCCAGGGAGTGAAACCGCCACGCTTGAACTGCTTCAGGGGTTTTTCCAAAAGACTCCCGAGCTATGTGGTACGGTGTTGACGGGTTCGACTGCATTCCCTCATGGGATATGAAGCCTGTGTTTGGTGAATACGACAAACCCTCGATCACAACATAAGGGGAGTTGACGGTCATGTATTATCCTTAGTCGGTTATTTCATTACTTATGTCTAGCCTCGGGCTACTGTAGCAACCAAGGCAACTTTTATCCTTCGTCAATACTGATCGATACAGTCATGCTACAAGTGACACACTCATACAATCATCCTTCGTGAAGAAATATACCTAAGCAGACGAAGGCTCCCTCTCCTCAGCAGGAGGTCCACCAACGTTACCCCTCTGACCAGTAGGCACATCATCAAGATTCCTCTGATGAGCATGTGCAGGGTCATCCTTCAGTTCCCTGATATCACCACCAGTTGTCTGGTCCTTGACGCCGCTAGCCAGGCCGGCCAGGCCCTGGCCCTTGCTGGAACCATCGTGGAGTTCTTGCGATGTTTGGCCTTGGACTGGCTGGCCGAGACCAGTGTGAACGTCACCTGACGTGGCGCCTTGGAGGGTGTCGGAGGCTTGGTGGTACATCTTCTGGTTGTTTAGGTCGGGGTTGGGCTGGAAGGTCTTGGATGCTGGTGCGGTGCCGGCGGGGAGCGTTTGTGCGTTGAACTCGGGGACGGCGTCGTTGCCGACGAGCTTTCCGGGTTGGTGCTGGGGTTTGTTAGTTGGGGTCGACGATGATATGTTTGGGGCTTGGTAGTGTTGACGGAGGCTCCAATGAGTTAAGAAGACGATCAAGCAGGAATCTGTGACGAAATCGAGAAAGTTCTGCATGTACTTACACCACCTTTCATGAGGGGCTCACTGGGCGCGACGTGTCCAGCAAACTGGCGACCGTCGCTGACAGCATCGGGGTTCTGGTTCTGGCTCATGTTTGCAATGTGTATTTGTTGTAAATCGCGAGATTTGAAATGTAATGTAGTGGATGGATAAATGTGAAGGTTGTTGAGTAGGAAGAGGGGTGTCGTGTGCTATGTGAAGTAAACTTTCACCATGGGCTTTCTATAATCCCATATGATAGCGTCACCACCTTTGACATCAACTCGACGTCATGCCGACTTGCGCTAGTTCAGCCATATGTGGTGATGGGCTCTGCTGAGAAGAGCGGGTACCTGACGTCGGCAATTTGGTCCGGTGTCCTGCGATTCGATCAGACTTTGCTTTGTGATCGCCGATGAGTAAAGGTCGAACGTGGTGAGGGGGTTGTGTTGAGTGAAAGGAACAGTGTCGGAACAGCATTCCGAACATTCCGACGTTGAGATCGACCGACACGCATTTAGCACCATGACGTTGATGGAATCAAAACAAACTCTTGGCTGCAGTAAGAATCGCGTAATGAATCAGATTTAGAGGGGTTTGCGACAAGAACACATTAGCTGTTGGCGATAGAAACTATGCAGCCAACGCCTATGGCGACGATTGACATAATCTGCTTGGTAGTGTCAGCCGCAAGTACGCCAAAGTCAGTCTTCTGTAGTGAGCCCGCTGATAATGACCTAGCATGACTGTTGCAGCTGCGCTGTTGAAGCAGATGATTGAACTCAGAAATCCAAGTGATGATTTTGACCAGACTTCATAACTTTTGTGTATTGCTTGGCCGCTGGCTTCAAGAGCATGCAAGCTCTGACAAGCTGTGATAGTATCGACGATAATTTTGTGTCGTAGTTGCGCTTTGCATCTGCCTCGTGGGTATCGTACTGGGTATCAAAGCCCGTCCAACGTCCCTGGGCCCTGATCCTCGCCGCTGCTCTGCCTAGAGCAATTCGCCCCAGGTCTGGAGAATTCTCATTGTTCATCTCTTGCTCATTCCTCCTCCTGTATGAACGGGTTCGGGATTTCTTCGCTTCCGTCGACGGGCGAGATGACGACCAGAAGAGTGCCGCGCGCGACAATCAGACCAAGCTTGCGATACCGGATGTTGCCGTCCTCGTCTGGGTCAAGTCAGATAGGTCGGTGTGAGCACGAAGATCAGAGACATACCAGTCAGGGCTTCTTTGACCTCATCCAGGACAAGGTTCATGAGCTGGTCGTAGCCTTTGAGCGTGCCAATGACTGCAAGAGGTTAGCTTGCAGCGCTCCTTCCTAGTTTTCTTGCCCTACATACCTTCACGTCCGCCACTGAACTTGACGGTGATCTGCTTGTCCATGTACTTGCTCAGGTCAAGAATGTTCTCTTTCTTCGGGCGCTCAGTCTGTCCGCCCGCACCGCCCGCTTGTGCACCGCCACGACCGCCACCGCGTCCCCCGCGGTCGCCGCCCCGACCTCCGCCTCGACCCCGGAATGCGCCTCGCTCAGACATGGTAGTAGCGTGGAGAGGGAGAGACGCGTTTTGGATGTTGAAGCTTGTGGTGACGTGCAGCAGCCGCGCCCAGTAAGAGATGGTGGTCTGTGCCGCTCCGGGAAAGGCTCCTCCCACCCCACATCCCGGTCACGTGCGTGGCTTTGGTGTCAGGCGACGCAGGGGTGGAAACATGATTTCCGCCATGCTTCCAGACCTCCGCCGTGCTGTGGCGCTTGCATCGTAGCAGCTAGATTCACCCAGGACGCGTGGGCCTGCGGCATTTTTCGTCATCCCTCCAGACGACGACGACGCCAGCCCGGGGTGCTCGGTGCCGGCCTCTTCTTCAGACGGCACCTCACACACTTCTGCCACAGGCTTGCGGGCGTCTGCAAATAGGCGGTCGTGAGTGTCCGCCCGTGGCAGGGCGCTCAGTGGCTGTCGTGGTCGGGTCGGCAGAATCTGAATCATCAGCGATGCGCATTCATTGCAGGTCGGCGCCGGGGCCGCTGCTAGCTGCAGACGCGTATTGATTGGGTGGGAGGCGTACGCTGCAAAGCTCTTTCTTATTTCCGGTGCGCTGCGTGCCTTCCCTTGTCCGCCCCTCTGCCTTCCGTTCGGAGCACTTCAGCCACCGAGCAGCCGTTTGGCTTTCCACCCGCGCCCTCGCATCTCTCGCTGCGATTCTCTCTGCGTGATGTATCTTGTCCTGTAATTCGGGCCTTCGCGACTAGACGCGAGCGCCTGCAGTGTGCTGAGCTGTGAGCTGTTCATCGCCTAGCGCACTCCGCTCCACCCTCGAATCTCTGCCATCCGTCCACTCCGCCCTCGCAGCAATCACCAACCTGGTATCCCTCCCACCCAAGCCAAGGTATGGCCACCGCCGACTCGCACGCTGCGGCTGAGCGCACCATGTCGTCGCATCCACCGCAACACCATGCGCCGCCGCTGCCCGCGGACCTCAAGCGCAAACGCAGTCCTTCGCATGAGATGCACCTGGCTGCGGCCGCGCCTGTCCCCAAAGCCGCTAAGACCCACAACCACCTCCAGATCAACTACCTCGCACGACACCTCGAGAAGGACCTGCCGCTGATAACGAATGATGACACCCTACCCAACATTCTCTCAGTCCTCAGCGACTACCAGGGCGTGCTCGATCGCCATGAGAGCATGGCCTGCAACCTGGGCGCAAGACCATTAGGACCCATCCTGATCAAGCGATTCGAGCGGCTGTTCGACGGACCACCGCGCGTGCTGAAGAGTCACGGAAAAGATGGGACCACTGTGACTTGGCTGGACGTGGTCGAGTTTGCGCGCAACAAGCCGGAGCAGTTCCAGCTGGATCAGATGAGCGAAGGCGTGCGCGTCTGCCAGTTCTACACAAAGCAGTGTCGGGTCCAGATCTCAGAGGAGGATTTCGTCTTGATATCATCTGGCATTCCGCAGAAGATGATCCCACCCCAGCCCATCATCGAAGACGAGGAGAAGGAGCTGGGCACAATGGAGATACTGGAGAAGAACCTGAGCCAGATATGTTCACTTGCTGATCAGGGTGAGTCTGACCGACTATCACTAACCAACATCGACATTGGCTAACATCGCGCAGTCGCTGCCCGCACTCGGCAGCTCAACCATAGACTGAAGGGCCGCAAGCAGGCTATCCTCGACCGCCGAGCGACCGCGAGCCCAGCTCCTACCATTCCCCGGCCCACGAGCCCTTCGAATGTCGCCCTTATGAATGGTGGCAGCTCGAGCGCCCCGAGCTCAGGGTACGGCCAGGCGCACGGCCAACTGCACACTCAGGCTTCTCAGACATCACCTGGCAGCGGCGGTGGTTTTGTCGCAGTCAATGCGCGCCAACATCATGAATCCAATGGCCACGGTCACGGCCACAGTCATAGCCGCGGCCATGGCACTTCATCATCCACCCGGCATGAATTGCTAGCCAAGTTCCACACAACAAATGGCCGGAGTTCGTCCTCGCAGCCGCCCACTAGCACAGCTGATGTGCGAAGGCCGTCCGTAGGCAGCCATACCAACTCCCACCCCTCCACCCCGGCAGCGATTCCCACAAGGGCTGTTCCCAAGCCCGCGGATGGCCCTCAGGGATCTCTGCAGCACATTGCAAGACCATCGCAGCCCCTCAACGAGTCTGAGCTGCACTCCATGATGAATTCGCCCGTGCCGATACCAAACACTCCATCCAACCTGCTCCCCGCTTCAAGTCAACGCGCCAGTCAACAACCCGAAAAGGACGATGGAGGCCCTTTCAAGGTTGAGATGGTACACAGGATGGAGGGGTTGG